CAAAAGATTTTGAAATTAGGTAGTTATGTTTTATATATACTACCAGGTATTTATAAAATTGAAACAAATGCACTACAGCAACAATTAGAATGGTGGAAGGTCAAGCTATACAGACGTAAATTTTCAGCTGCTTCATTAACTGAAGTCATGTACCATCAACTAATCCTATGTTTTTAACTAATGGTAAGAAAGTAGCACTTTTCTTTTTATATGTGCACTGAAGTACACACAATGGCTTAGATTTTAATGTCAAGTAGCCTATTAAACTGTTTCTTGATTTACTTTTAGACTATTTCAAAAACTAACTACTAAAAGAATGTTCAGAGCTTCACTTCATTAAAAATGTCCATACTGAGTCAAACCAGTATTTCAGATTCACAGTGAATGTTGCTAAGATAATCATGTTCCAAGCTATGTAACACCTATTACTTGGCCACATCTCCAGTAGCAAAAACAGAGAATATTTGTTTGTTTGTTCTTTTTTCAATAGGGAACACCTATTCAAGGAAGTAAACTCAGACTGCCAGGATATCTATCAGGGAAGGGTTTCCACTCTGGAGAAGACAGTGGCATCCTGTCCACAGCAGCTACCAGAGTCAGAGCTCAGTTTGCAGGTGAGTTTCCTAACTTCAAAGCTTGATGTACACCTTGCTTTATTTGGCTACCTGGATACCCGTGAGTCAGCTTTGAAATGTGAGGAAGATTAGTTGGAAGAGTGGGAAGAAGTAATTATCTTATTGTTTCCACATTATCATTGCCAAGGTTGCACATAATCAGGGTAATGGTCTTTTATTCACATGGTTGAACAGCAATTATGTTATATTCAGTGCCAGATGTGCAAATTCATGACAGAAATTCTTGGTGATGCTATCTCCAATATCTCTGCCTAAAGAATTAAGAAAGAAGCATTTGCTTAAGAATAAAGAGTTTACTTCACTTTCACATTTGAAAATAACTTCAGTGTCCAAGTGATGTTCAACTGTGATGGAGCAAAGGGGTCATTTAATCATGACTTGTCTGTTTTCATTGCAAGAAGAGCTGCAGGGAGCAGCTGTAGATGACCTTGTTAATGGAATATCCTCTAGAGATTTTAAAAACAGTGTATAAAAAACAGAAAGTGTGAAGCTGTGCTCTTCCAGGATCTTTAGAGCAGGGTTGGCTGGGTGTTGAGAGCAGGAGATAGCTGTACTACATTTCCTGCATGTCTTGAGCTCTATGGAGCTTACCGAACAGTACTGGAAAATCCTGCTCAAACAGACCATATCTTTTAAGTTAGAGGTGATATGGAAAAATGAGCCAGCTGAGATTTCAGCTTGTTATTCTTTGCCCTTTCAGGGAATCAGATTTGTCGAGATCAAAAAAGATTCAATAAGTAATTGGAAAATTATGAAAACCCACATTAATGTTTTTCTGTTTAAGATTCTTTGTTGTGGTTTTTTTCTTCATGGCACATTGTCTGGACAAGCTTTCACTTTAGAAGGCTTGCAGAGAGCTCATTTACTAAGTCTGTCTTTTTGGGAGAATGTACAGTCTTCCCTTGTTTATTTGCAGCTTTCAATATTGTGGTTTTGATTTGGAAAACAAAAAGACGGTGGGGTAGAAGTATACATTTGAAAAATGAGGTTGTCATCTGCATGTCTTATTCATGTGTTCATAGAATCATAGAAGGGCCTGGACTGAAAAGAACCACAATGATCTAGTTTGAACCCCCTGCTACCTGCAGGGTCACCAACCCCCAGACCAGGCTGCCCTAAGCCACATCCAGCCTGGCATTGAATGCCTCCAGGGATGGGGCGTCCACAGCCTCATTGGGCAACCTGTTCCAGTGCATCACCACCTCTGTGTGAAAAACTTCCTCCTAATATCTAACCTAAACCTCCCCTGTCTTAGTTTGAAACCATTCCTCCTTGTCTTATCACTATCAACCCATGTTGATTCATCAATCTTCAGTTCTTGGAGATGCCAGATACTTAAATGTTCCAGTTCATAGTTGAGAAAATGGTTAAGAAAGAAAGGATCTAGCTGTTCATAATCAATAGATAATACATGCCTAGAAGAGTTGGCAGGATGATTTTCTTTAACTGGATGTGCCAACGATAAATTTCCTACGTCTCAGCATTCTATTGCATTTTCCCTTCTTTTTAGTGAAAGACAGCATTGTTTGTGCTGTTGTGTTAGTATAAGGGCAACTTTGATTATCGTCTGGCTTATCTGGCAGAAGTCTGAAATCTACTTTGTGCTGTGAGAAATTTTTGGGATTGCCAAAGACTTAGCAGAGACTTGCACACCTTTTGCATCTGTACCTCTAATGCTGCTGGGTACCTTTTCTTTCTAGAAACCAGGAGAACTCCAAGCAGACCTGGGAGCCGAGCGGGAAGCAAGGCTGGCAGCAGGTCGAGTAGCCGCAGAGGCAGCGATGCATCTGACTTTGATATTTCAGAAATCCAGTCTGTATGCTCAGATATGTCAGAGACTGTCCCAGCTACAAGCAGACCGACACCCCGAGCAGGTTCTCGGCCAGGATCAGCCAAGCCTTCTAAAATTCCAACTCCCCAGAGAAGGCCGATAGCCAGCAAATTGGACAGGTCCTTGAAGAGATAATATGATTAGCTTCATAAGGGTTTTTTTTTCCTTTTGCGTTAAGTATTTAAGTTCGTAAGATGTAAAATATTCTGTAGAAATCGTTGTGAAATATCGCAAGAGGTGGATTTTTAATTCTGCAGATGGCCTTATTTGTGTATTTGTCTTCTTATTTTATGTGTATAATTTTTGTCAGATTTGTTTTTGTTTATGCCATATCCTGTGAGGAGGGGAGAAGAGTTTTAATGTAAACTAACAGTTGTACACAGTAATGTGTAGAAAGTACACTAAAAAGTAATTACCAAATGTACAGTGTACTGAATGTACAGTAAATCTCTGGAGCCTGAAGAAAATAGACCTATCACTATGTCATTAGTTAACAGTAAAGGATACCTCAAGATTTTTCTTTAAAAAAAGAAAAAAAAAAGAATACTAAAAAGCCAAAAGACACAATTGTGCATTTTGAGCTAATGAAACAAACACTAAAGGACGTGTGTCAAAGCTACCGAGGAATACAGCCCCACAGTCACAGTACCCTTATTTATACAGCATCTCTCAGAGAACTCACACAGTTAAGCACTTGCCAGTGATATGATACTCCAATACCTTGCAGCGTTTCTGTGCCATTGCTTTCGGTGAGGCCAGACACATTCTGGATATCGGAACTATTATTCTATAAGAATATCAATATAAAGTGCATTCATGTAAATGTGAGGTTTTCTTTTGCTTGAGTGGATGGTAGCACTGTATTATTATTGAACTCATTTTGTATCAAAGCAATTTTGCTTGCAGAAGGCTCTGAAATAAACATGTCCCTTAACTTTATTTCTACAGTATTTCTTATTTCACAGAAAGATCAATTTCTGCATTACATTTTAGGGCACATGTTATTTCAAATGATAATTACCATAGGAACATAGACTTTAATGTAATTTCCAATTAACAGCAATCACATTTGGGTTAGTTGCTCTTTGTGTTTAATAAAACACTAAATTGCACATATCAGATGATATGAAATTATGTATAATTATTGTGTGTTGATAATTATTTTCTCCATGTTAAACTGTGAGATATATATACACCATGTATGAAAGGCTTAAAGAGTAATTCTGTTGCTCTTTTTGTCAATGAAATATTTTTGCGATTCATTCATTTGAGAGAATAATAGTTTATTTTTAATGGAAAAAGGATGCAGTTTGAGATAGGAGTGCTGTACAACAGCTGGGTGGATGCTGTAGTAATGACAGAATCCTTAGAGATTCAAAATGCTCTTTGATAATATCAGAAGGACACACTAAAAGTTCAGCTAGTTTGACAGATCAGACAGTTTAGGTCTGACTGTTTATGTACCAAAAAATGCCATAGCTTTAAGTAGAAGAATGTTAGGAGAAGGCTGGTTTATGATGGGTCTCCTAGTGTTCAGCTGATTACCTATAGGCAATATGACATCTGCATTCTCTGCTAACTAGATTCTCATTAGAAACAAGAGCTTTCTGAAAATACAGAGTTGAATCCCCCAGTCAGTTCATGAGGAACAGAAAAAATAATTCTCAAAAGAAGATTCAATCAATCAAAATCCTCTTGTGTCAGGATTTCCTCCGGTGTGCGCGGAGAGGCTACGAGTGTTTGTGGAAAACAGGCAGGAAATTCCACCAGGGAGCAAAAAGGAAAAGTGCAGTGGATGAGATCTTGAGTGAGAAAGCAGATGGTGGAATTAGGGGAAAGAAAAATACATAGCCTGGGGCAGGCCCTAGTGAAAGGCCATGTGGCCTCTATTGCACAGCGAGCAGCGCTGATGACACATCTTACTGCAGCAGGCCTGGAAGGAGCACACGCATTTGCTGAATCACTCAGTAAAGTGGTAACAGACCCAAGACTGTTGCAGTTCAAGAAGCATTTTAACCATGCTCTCAGATGTAGTATTTGAATTTTGGGTGGTCCTGTATGGATCCAGGAGCTGGACTCAATGGTCCTTATGGGTGCTTTCCAACTCGGGATATTCTGTCACTCCATGAGCTCTGGTCTTCATGGAGTAGTGTTGGTGTATGCCTGAAGCACTCTGAATTTATTCTCTGGTCTTAGCTTTACACATATTCATAACGTTTAATGAAATACGCTACTTATATGTGCATATTGCTACGTTGTGACCTTACAGAAATATTAAAGCTGTGTCCAGATTCTGAGAAATCCAGTGTAGACTGAAGAACCCAGTGACTAACCTGGTTTCTGTAACTTGTTGGCTACTGCAGAGCTGTGGAGGCTGGGGCTGGCAAAATGGAGAAGCTAACTGAAGGGTTTCTGAGAATCGTTCCATTTTGGAAACCTGTCTGATAATAGATTAAAAGGGATTGAGAATTCTCCTGTTAAAAGTCCAAATTTTTCTCAAACTCTAATACCATGTATGATTACCTTAAAAAAAAAAAAAAAAAAAAAAAGTTTGAATGTTTTAGATTGATGTAAGAATTCCCAAAATGAAGACATTTTCCAAAATGAAGAAAATAAGCACTGAACCTTCTGCATTTCTATGACACAAAAACAAGCCTTCAGAATCCAATGGGAAAGACATATTGTGGGCTTTGCAGTGATAAGGGCTCTGCATCCCAAGTAGACAGAGCAGTTCACTGTGCCAGAAGTGTGGCTTCTATTGCAAGTGATGATTCGTCTTAGATTAGGTACGCATGTCTTCATAGAATCATTGAGTGGCTTGGGTTGGAAGGGACCTCAAGGATCATCAAGTCCAACCCCCTGCCATGGCAGGGCTGATAACCGCTAGATCAGTATTAGATCAGGCTGCCCAGGGCCCCATCCAGCCTGGCCTTGAGCACTTCCAAGAACGGGGCATCCGCAGCCTCTCTGGACAACCTGTTCCAGCACTTTACCACTCTCTTAGTGAAGAACTTCCCCCTGACATTCTAGGAAATACGCTTAATTGTTAGGAGTAAAGAGTGTAGAAATGAGGATTAGCTGACTGCTGTCCTGGTGGCCAAAGACTTACCAAGAAGAAAATGAAATTATTGAAGTCTCAGTGAGTCAGAGATGCCACCTACCAGCAGAATCTAAGGGATGTGAAACCACATTAAGAGATAAACAACTTGTTTTTTGTTGAACTCACTTTATAAAGAAATCTGTGCTATTCTGTTTCATTTTCCTGTAATTCAAAAACATTTTTTCTATGTTCCCAGCATAAATGAGAGGAAGGGTCTATAGAAGCCCTATAACCAAGTCCACACTGTTGTCACGTGTGTTTTTACCTAATTGCAGCAGATGCATTTCCTTCCCTGTTATTATTTTCCAACAGAAATTGAACACAAATTCACCCAGTCTGCTGTACGAACAACGCTTTAGCATGGTCTAGATTCTTGTATCTGTAAGTTCTGAGCTTTTTCAGCGCAGCAAAGAAACAGTGGCAATAGGGAGGAAGGAAGTATTGAAAAGCTAGTGACTGTGAGAACCGGTTCAGTGTCTGAGGCGTATTTAGCACTGGGAAAAGCTGGTTCAGTTCTTAGCTCCCTTTTCTCTCATTTAATTTGTTATGCACTGCTGTTTTTCATGTCTTCACATGTCTCTAAGATGTTAAAAAATCTACAGATGAAACCTGCAAGTAAAAATAATGCAGGTAGAAGAGCAAGTCATGCCTTATAGTCTACAGCTTTCTCAATGTAGTTTATACTATAAACCTCTTAGTTACATGCTAATGTAATAGATGACAGTAATTGAGGCTTTGCCTGCAGCACATCGCTTTACAAAAGCGTAGAGATGAGGGTATCTGTGATCTTAAATTTAAAAAATGAATGCATTTCTTAAGCTGGTGCAAGTAGCTATGCCATACCATACTCAGCAGCAGCAGTATTTGAACCAGGAGCTGCTTCTACCAACATCTACCCTGTCAAGCAGGAAGACTGTCTGCAATCAATTGCTTGCACCAATAGCTCACATTTATGAGAGGGACCATAGTGCTCATCTATGTTGAATATAGCACATGATGAGAGGACACACTGCTGAACGCTCTCTATACTGCTCTTTAAATAACCACAAGAATGGAAAACAAGCATTTTGAGAACATCTGTTGGGTCTGCCTCATTGCAGCACAGCTGCCCTAACAGCTCCCAGGTGTTCCCAGTTCTTAGGCTGTATGTTAGCACCTGATCTCATTCCAGGTAAAGGTGTTTAGCTTGATGTTTGCTCTTATTGTGGGCTAAAAGGCATTAGGTTGAATGAAATTTTGAAGAACAAAGGAAAGGTGCTTTCCTAATGAAAATTATCCTCTCTACTGAATTTGAATAAGCTGTTTGCAGATACAGGTGGGAGGGGTGGTTGGCCTGTTTGCTTGATTTTTTTTTCTTAGTGATAGTGTTCTTTGAAGGCATTGGGAGGTTAAATGCAGATGGATTACTGATCTGTAGGGGAAAAAAAAGTTATCTTTGTTGAAAAGAGGAATATTGCAGAGGAAAAGCAGCTTTTCAGAAAACTGGATGAGGTACCAGTTTAAATTACGTGCAACCTGTATGAAAATGCCTCGTAGCTGATCCCAGGGTGAAATTTTTTTTATGTAGACGCAAGTCCTTCTGTTAAGACTTGTTCTGAAACTTGGCTGCTGCAAATGAAGTTTTATCTGACCTGAAGCTAGAAGAGTCTTGGGGCACATACTTCCACAATTAAGTAGGTTCTTCTGAACTGAAATTGTTTAAATAGTCTGAATTGTAGCTTGTGGTGCTAAGCTGTGCTTTTGTATTTGAAGGCTGAAGGGAAGAATGATGGAGGTAAATTGTGTAATCTAACTGGCATCCTGGATGAGTAAGTACAAGCAAGTTAATAGATGTGTTCTTAATGTTGGGATGACTGAATATGAGTAAGAACCTCAGACCATAAATCAGGCCCTGTCAACATCAACGCTGTATTTTCTTCCTCTGGGAAGAGGCAACCAGAGTGGTGATAGCTGTCTCCTGGCAGGAAGCACTGACTTGGAGGAGTTGTTGTTTGTTTTTTTTTTTATTTTCAAAGAGGTCATTATATGTTTACAGCATTTAGAAAAGTATCTAACATCTTTCTCTCTTCGTCCTCTCCCCCCCCATCACCTTTTCTTGGGGCTTGATCGTGGCATTTCGAAATCATCTTTTTATTGGCAGAATGACAGTTATCTAGGGACTTGTGGAAGTTTGTGCTGTCTGGGTTATTTTAAAAAGCAGTGAATTCATATGATAAAGCAATATTCTTGTATTTAAAAGTCTATGATCCAAGTTTAAGATGGGAAACAAGTATGTTCAAAATGAGGAGGGAAAAAATATAAGCTGGTATGTATGTAGAGAACTCATTAGCTGGCTGGAAGAGCTTCAAACTTGAATTGGTGGAAATGTTATCAGTTAAATAAACAGAACAAGATAGCACTACCAGCAGTAGGTACTATTCACCCAAGCCTCCTGCAGGAGGGTGAAGCAGCTGTGCTGCTGTTTGTAGCCTTCCTTTCAGATAGACTTGTTCTGAGAGGATTGGACAGTGCTGAACAGAATGCCAGCTCTTTTCTTAAAAGGCACTGGTTAGGTCTAGGAAACGGCTGATCAGTCTGGGCTTGGAAAAAGTGGTGAAAGTAATAATAAATGATGTACTAATGGAAACCTGAAGAAATATGCTGTAGAGGAATTGATTTAGTTTCTAGAGAGAAAGCATGCCTTATAAACTGCCTGGAAAGCTCCTGAAAGGATCAGTCGGCGTCCATGGACATTGAGATAGACCACATGGCTTTCTGAAGACTTCAACAAGGCTGCTCACCACAAGCTGTTGAAGTAAGCACTTACAGGATCGGAAGTAAGGTCTTAATGAGGGTAAATAGCATGTTAAAAGCTAAGGAAAGCAGTGTTGAAGAAAGTGGTTTTAATGGTGCTAAAGGAAGAAAGAGGTCTGCAGTGGAGCCCCTGACAGATTTTAACATAAAGCTACGGGCGCTGGCTTTGAGGCTCCCGCAGCGCCTTGTTGGAAGGGTGCTCTGGAAAAAGCATCACTACACTGCTGTGATTCATCTTGCCTCCCGGGAGGTGTGCATTGCTTTCTGCTGACTGCACGGGGCCCATGGTGACTAGCTCAGCCCCAGCCAACTAGCTTTTAGTAGAGTGAATCCCGCCCCAAATTAATGGGTTTATTTCTATCCAAGTGTAAAGGGGGGGGATTTTCAGCACCAAAGCTTTGAAATCATTGTGGCTTTTATCACTTACATACCCTTTTGGCATACTAAGTATGTTTTAGGTATATGCAAATCATGGAACATCGCATAATCCAGCACCATTCCTGGTCACATTTAGGGGAATCATGTAAGAGGGGAAGAGAATCCAGTTCTTTCATTTCTGTCAAATGCTTTGGGAACTTTTGGACGATTCTTCTATCTTTCAGCATCAAAATCAGGTATGAACCAAAATGTTCCCTGCAGCACTGCTGCCCATCTTACATGCAATCTCATTTTCTTTGGATTCTCTGATAACTTCTTTCTGAGAGCTGTTAGAGGTCTGTGTGTATCAGTGTAAGTGAACACATCTTTCATGGGACACTGGCAGGCCACGCATGTCCTTGAGACCCAAACTGCTTACACCCGTAAGTCATTGAACAGAATAGCACAGTGGTGTGTTTCTCTTCCAGAGAAGATAATGCAACAGGATTTTCCCCAAAGACATGACATTACTTCAGTGCATTTTATTTTCTTTGTTTGCATCTTAAATAAGCTCAGTTTAGCATGGTTATTTGTAAACTGTTCTCTTTTCTAGAAGGAAGAAAAATACAAATAATTAACCAAGTGTTAAGTTCTGGGTGCAGAAAGTGTTTGCTGAACACTGTGTCTTTGAATTGTTTTCAGTTGGAGATGAAACCAGAATAAGGTTTGAACTTAAGGGCAAAACACACGTATTCATTTTAAGGCAGATTTAATTTATTCTGTTAAAATATGAAGAGATGCAGTGAATTACAAATTAATTAGTCAAGTCTAATGCCTTTTTTCAGGAGAAAGGCGAAATGCTAGCAGTGAGTGCTGTTTCCACTCGTTGTGCTGCTGCTTTTTCCTCACAGAGTACGTTTGCAAATACCTGCTCTAGTTGTTTTGAACTGCACAGCAACCCTGTCGCATTTCCTGTTAAAATGAGCAAACTGAACTTTGCAGCCTGTGTGCATCGCTCTGTAACAGCAGCCCGAGTGATGCTTTCCTTGGCCAGATGGCGACAAGGGTGTGTGAGCCACGGCTCCTGAACTCAGGCTGAACCTCACAAGCAGGATGATGCTGCTATGGGCCCTGCGTGGGCTGGCGACACAGCTGTCTCTGGCCTCGGGGCCTGGCCGTGTATGGAGCAATGGCCTGTCGGGAGGAGATTGCTTGTTATTGCTGCCAAGCACTGGGGAAGGTCATTGGCTTGGCTGCAGCATCGTCAAGCTGAAAAGTTGCCTGATGTGGTCGCCTATTCAGCACAGGCTTTTCTGTGCGATTTCTTTTTTACAGTATTCTTTACCTCTTATATACTGCCTTTACCTGCTGTTTGGTAGTGGGGTCTGGGGCTGTGAAATCATGAGGAAATAATCTTTAGCTTGTTTTCCACCTCTTTATTTAGTTATTTATTTTTTCCCTGCTAACGAGGTCTTAAGTCTTTCCAGATTTTAGGGGAGGGGATGGGTCTTCATGATGCGAAGGAATTTTAACATAACTCTCACCAATGGAAAAGCTCTTAATAAGTGGTGAAAACTTTGGCCCCTGTGTGAGCATTCAGTCCTTGGTACCCTTAAAACTTTCCACACGAGAGCTTTCCAGTCATCTGCGTATAGCTCTCCAAAAATATTGCTGTGATCTCATCCAGTAAAATAACCCTGGTCAGTGCTGGCCCAAATGCTCAGTTAGGATGTATCAGCTGCAGGGCCATAGGGCTATGGCCAGCATACACTCTACCGAATGAAGGAGTAATGCCATTAAGTCAACATAGGCAGAAACTTTGTCCTCTATGTGGTAGAGGGTGATGAAATGTGTTGAGTTGGTGGCTCTGCAAGGCAGTGTGTGTGGCAGGCAGCAGCTTGTGGGCCCAATGTCATGGGGGCAAGGCTTTTGAGATAGCTAGGCATTTTTACCCCCAGCAATGAGAAGTCCTATTTTTCTACATCCAGGCCATACTGGCTCTGGGAAGGTCCTGTGCATGTTGGACCGTTCATTTTCTATCACCAAGCACCTCAGAACTGACATTTTCTTTCAGTTAACTGCTGTATCATGAAGTTATGTATCATGAAGCAATCTATAGAGTAATTTATAAATCTGCAAGTGAATAGCTACTTAATTAGTTAGGAATAGTCATCAGTAGCAACACAGCCTACTAGCTGCTCTTGTGTTTCCTCTTTGGCAGAAACCTGAGTAGCTTCTCTGCAACCCCAAATTTTTCTGAAAAAGTGGGGAAGTTGGGAATTTGAGAAACTTGATCTTGTTTTCTGAAGTTGTACAATGTAACTGTGTAACAGCATCCTCAGCTCTGAGCTTCACCAGAAGTGAAAGTAGGACAATCCAATCACCTTTAGCCCTGTGGTTTGGTGGAGATAGACGAGGATTTATGCTACTCCACAAGATATAGAATATCCCAAGTTGAAGGGTTCTCACAAGGGTTGTGGCATCCAGATCCTGGCTTCACACAGGACTATCCAAAATTCAATCCCTGTGTTTGAGAGCATTGTGCAAATGCTCTTTGAACTCCAGCAGCTCTGGGATGTGCCCACTGCTCTGGGCAGCCTGTTCCATATCCACTGCCCTGTGGTGCAGAACCAAGATTTTCAATCAAAATGGCAATAGTTAAGGAATCTTTTTCTTGTCTTGGATATATGATGTGCTCTATATAGGAGTGTCTTTTTATTTTATGTTACTTTATACATAGCTAGTCAGTCTTTGGCCCTCATTACTATTTTTTCTGTTATTAAACCCTAGGGTGTAAAACATAGTCTCCAAATCTACATAAATAAAGACAAATATTTTCAGCTGAGTGGAGTGATCAAATTGTGTTGAGGGAGTTTGAATCTAGGCACAGTGATGTCATTCAACTGCTGTTTGATTTTTTTTTTTTTTTTTTTTTAAGGAAAAAATGGAAAAGAATATGTAATTGTGCCATAATTATATGGGGTATACGTGTTGAAACCCTGAAAATATTTAGAAGCACCTGTTGGATAGGCAAAATTTTAGGCAGCTACACACCATTGATTTGGTGAGTTCTGTTCTGGGGGCTGTTGGTGGCTTTTTCAGGTTAAGTGCATCTGCATGTATTTGCCAGACTGAGGTCATTTGCAGTCCAGCACATGGCTGTGCTTATTGTTTGGAAGGTAGAGTTAGAGATAAAATCAGTTGGATTAAAATCTGAGAGAACACATAATTTTGTTGTGATATTAGCTTATAAGGAAACATTTTTGCCATAAATTGTACCGTATAAATTTCTATTTGTAGTCCCAGATTGGAGCACCAGCTGTGTCTATCACTGGAATGATCTAGTTAACAATGCGTGTCGGAGAAAATTATAGCATAATTTATTCATATTTCTTAGAATAGCAGAAATAAGGCAGAAATCCATGTGAGTGTAGACAAAGATGTTGTCCTATTCTATTGCCTATCCAAAGATGCAAAGAGAAAATCCTGTTGTGATGGATGATAAAGGAAAAGCATATTAAAGTGTAAGTTCCGATCCAAGTCAGAAAAAAGCATGCAGTTCAGGTAGAAATAGCTGATAGAACCTGCCAGTCAGTTTATGAGCAGCTAGAAATGTAGCACAATGCAGTTTTCCTACTCTGAGCTTTTGGGTGTGTGGGGAATGAACTTAAGATTGATTTAGTCAAGCCTGGAGAAAGATGGCTAAAAATCAAGATCCCTTTATATTTCTTATGTCAGTGTTTAGCTGTGCTTTCTGTCAAGGCTTTTCTTTAATCTTTCAGTGGGAGACGTTGGCCAGAAGAAAACAAGGAGTCTAAGATTTATGTCGTATCTTGCAATAGCTATGCCTTGGCTCGCAACAAAGCAGAAAATGAACAGTGCTTCTTCAAGCTGATACAACATTGAGAGAGCCCTTACTCACTAAGACATTGCAGAATGGTATGAAGAAGCTAGTGTTTCAAGTTGAGTGATATCAGGGCATTTTGTGAGCTTTTGTGTTTTTTGATGCAGATCTTGAAAGCACCACTAAAAAGCACTTGTGTTGGCGATCATTCTGTAGTTAAAATAAATGTCAAATTACTGGAAATCTGAAAAATATGGTACGTGGAAGTTTCCTGGCTGGTCTTGGTTTGCCTCGGAAATGCTTTGGTAATGCTGTGCTTTCAACAAATGTTAATATAACAAAGCACATTCTGTGTGCAGCACTTCTGGTGGTGACTCTTCTCCCAAATCTCCAATGGTTAGAAAGTCTAGAACTCCTTATTGTCTCCTCTGGTGAAGTGGTTACGGCCCTTTGCCAGCACTGTTCCCCTCTTGCCAAATAGAAGGCTGTATCTGCAGTGGTGACTAGCTGAGCTGGCAAAAATAGAAATGGCATTTCTTGCTCATAAGGGGCAGTTTGACTTGGACTTGGACTTGGTGGTTCTGAGTGGAAAAAAAACTGCAGTGTTTACTCCTGCTCCTTGTGCTGAGTGAAACCAAGAAGTGAAATTCAATGTGAGAATATAGGAGTCAATACATGTGAGAGCTGAAAAATCCCAGATAAATGTAGATCTAACTAAGCTTCAATGGTCTGCCTCAGGGTAACTTTTCCTGTTCATACATATCTCTTCCTAACACATCACAAAGTTCAACTTGAGAATGGAATTTAAAATATACTGAAAAACTTATTTTTGTGGTCTGCTGAAGCCAACTAGTAGTTCTTACCTTAGAAAAAGGTAAGTATTCTGTGATTTCCAAATTTTCATTTTACATTAGAGAAACCATATTATCTCAGTTTTGCTTGGAGTATGGTATAAAATTGAATTGAAAAAGCTGAGAGAAATGTAGCTATCTGAATGATGCAACCGAAAGAGAAAGTAGATAACCTCTGAGCATTTGCTAAAGTTAGCATGTACCGAAACAGTCTGCCAGGTAGAATTGTTTGATTCTCATGGGCAGTGTCCTGCATATGTGCTTGTGATCACTGGAGCATTGCTGGTCCCTTATTTTCGGGGCTGTGGAGTGCTGGTCTGCTTTTACCATTTTATAACCTTGATAGATAGCTTAAGAGCAGAAAGAAGGGAAGTAGAAATCTGCTGGATTTGCAGATAAGAAATGGAGAAGCAGATTAAGTAATTTTCCTGGGAATATTCAGGAAAAATGCTGGCAGATCAGGAAACTGGTTTGGTGCACAAATCCTCATTCCTCTGAAAGGAACATTGCTCCCTTTCCAATACACTGTCACTTGATATGTCTGTTTAGGAACCTAAATGTAACACTCCTTGTCTGAAAAGACATCCTTAGTTACCTGGAAAGTTAAATTAGTTTTCAAAAATAGTTAAAAGAATTCAGTGTTTGCTTGTAGAAGATTATCTGATAAAGAAACCACTAAATGTGGTAGGTATGAGTGTGGGAGTCAAACAGTAACACTGCACTGTGCCCATCAAGTGTTTCTGCTAGGGAACGTGGCTAGAAGGGAGTATAAACATGAATATGAATTTATCATTCAGTTTAGGACTCTGGAATGTTTCTATTTTAATAGTGTTCTAATAAAATCAAAACACTGAATCTTTCCCAGCAAAGTTATAAATAGAATGTAGGCACTCTCCTCGTTACACAGAAAGATGGACTGCAAAATGAGATTATTCACAAAATGGAAAAAAATCCACTAAAAAATGCAGACATTTTACTTGTATCTCTGTGTTGCCACATTTCTGGGTGATAAGCAGCTGTCATTTCTCCTTCATTTTCCCGTGTAATTGTTTTATTCTCATGACTGAGTATGGAACAATGCAACATAAAGACAAATGGCCTTTTTGTACAGTGGCCCCAGAATGCTGCTGATGGCTGAGCTGATGGTGAACCCAGTGACAAGGGGTCATCTTAAGATCCAGGTGGCCTCAGTGTCTTTGTGGCCACGCAAACCATCCAAACAGAGTCTACTAAGAAGGTACACTGAAAGATACTTTTTTGGTTCTGGGACTTGCTCTGTACATGATACAAAGCTGAAAGGATTGGCTAGCACACCAAGGGTTATGCTGCTATTCAGAGGGACCTTGACATATTGGAGTAATGGGTTATCAGGAACCACAAAACATTCAATAAAGGGAAGTGCAAAGTCCTACTCTTGGAATGGAATAGCCCCAGTGATCCTTGTGCTCTGCTCAGCACCAGTGTAGTCACATCTGGAATGCTGTGTCCAGACGTGGGCTCCCCAGTATAAGGTACAAGATCTTCCACGTGGGTCAAGGCAACCCTCACTACTAGTACAAGCTAGGAGATGAAAGGATTGAGTGCAGCCCTGCCAAAAACAATCTGGAGTTACTGATGAGCCAACAACGTGCTCTTGCAGCCCAGAAAGCCAACTGTGTCCTGGGCTGCACCAAAAGAAGCATGGCCAGCAGGCTGAAGGAGGTGATCCTGCCCCTCTGCTCTGCACTGGTGAGTCGTTGCCCACAGTACTGCATCCAGATGTGGAGTCTTCAGTACAGGAGTAACATGGGCCTGTTGGAGCGTATCCAGAGGAGGGCCACAAAAATGATCCAAGGGATGGAACAGCGCTCCTATGAGGACAGGCTGAGAGAGCTGGGGCTGTTCAGCCTAGTAAAGGCTCCAGGGAGAACTTATAATCAATGCTTATAATTATCTAATGGGCAGCAGTCAAGTGGATGGAGCCAGGCTCTTTTCTGTGGTGCCCAGTGAGAGGAAAAGGGGCAGTGAGCACAAACTGGGGCATAGGAAGTTCCCTACAAACACACAAAAAAAATCCTTACTTCGAGGGTGACAGCACAAAGCAAACTGCTGAAAAAGGCTAAGGAGTCTCCTGACGATGTTTAAGACCCATCTGGATGCTTTGGTGTGTAACCTACTGTCAGCAGCCTGCTTTAGCAGAGGCTACATAACATGTTCCTCAGAAGGCCCCTCCAGCCCCTATGATTTTTGTAAGCTAGGAGCATCAGCTACAGTTATGGCTCCCAAAGAGCTGTTACTGCTTCTAGACAAGTCTTAGAACTATAAAAGAGAAAGACAAAGAAACGAAATATTTTGCTGAAGGCCATCTGCAAGTGATATCTTCCTCACTGCTTGCACAGTGCCCTATTCACAGCACCATTTCCCCCCCCCCCCCCCCCCAAAGGATGCTCTGGAATTTGTTTCAAGGCCCTTATGGGTAACAAATGAGATATGAATGCACAAATCTCACTTGTTATAAACATACTAGTGCAAACTGTATTTCTGAACCAAGTTTGCCCTCGATTCAGCACTTTGTGGAAACAGAGGTACATTCATTCTCTGAGAATTTCTTCAACAATCTATTCACAACCACTCGTGGGAAGCGCCACATCGCCAAGCATGTGTGAGAGAAAACCACTCTAATTGAGTGCATGAGTAACTGGCTGCCAGACTGTGACTAGCCTGTATGCAAGCCCGCAGTTGGGCACATCTGCTGGGAGCAAGGAGCCATTACTGGGCCATCTGATCCTCTTCCTCTTTGTGAGCTGCCCAGTAGGCAAGGTACTGAAGAATGAAGACAAATCCCCTGCCTGCTATTTCAAGGTAGCAGTGTAAAGTGCAGTTTGCTCCATGCAGTATAGATCGTTCATTCTGCTATAGCATCTCCTAAATACATCTTTTATCTGTGTATATACAGAGCTGTACATAGTTGTAGGTACTCAATATAATGGAGGGTTTTAAACTTGCAAAAGGAAGTTGTTAAGCATTGAGATGTAAGGATAATTTGGGGCACAACACTACCGTGAAAGGCAAGCGATATGTTTGGGGTTTTATGTAGAGCTTGTTTGACTCTTTTTCTCCCTAAGTACCAACATACTCTTTCGTTTGAATTTTCTTGGGAATGGGCTTTTCCGCTCGGGCAAAATTAAACTTCAGCTCCAGCTTACTGCTGTTGGAAGTTATGCTGTTTGATAATACATAATCATGACTTTTGCTCCTTAGATGGGGAGGAATTCGCAAGTCACCATATACTTTTAGATGTAGACTTCTATTTCACTTGGTATCTTTGCTTGCTTGCTATAAAAGCATCTATCATTTTCTGTTCTACTATTAAAAGCTGATCTAGTCATGCTTTTCTAGGAAACAAAACAAAACAAAAAAGCAAGTGACGGATTATGACTAATAAAACAAGGCAGCCATAAAGCATATGAAACAGGATGATCAAAGGCATCGGGGTACCGCAGGATGCACTTACATAGTTCATTTAAAATGTCCAAATCATCCTCACAAGATTTGATAAACATCGATTTTGCTGGTAGAGGGCAGAAGATAAAAAAGCAGCCCCCCTCCTCTTTTTCTGCAAAATGAAAGGAACTGATGTAATTGTTCTAAATTCAGTACAATGAAGTGCTATCGGACCACTGCCAGCAGTGCATTTCCTGCCAGTGTCTGCTCCTCCAATCAGTTTAATTATGAGCAATTGTTTGGGTTGTGCTGTGAAAAAATATTAGAGAATGGAAAAAAGAACATACTTCAGGTCATTATTTTGTAACTGATTCATGGTTTGGCAGAAACCATTAACTAGATTTTATGCTTTACAACGCTGTAATAGTATCAGCATGGATCAACCTTGCCATATAAGCACATAAGCACAAATCCACCATTTATTTTGACAAGGTTCTAGTTGAAGCATTTGAAAAACGCTGAAATAACATCAGCTATTGGCTAGAATTTTAGGTTAATCTTGTGCCTTCTCTTATCCAAGGGATCTCTAAGCAAGCTATGAAAAAACTGGTGATTGTTAATGCCTCCTATGTTTATCTGTCCTGTCAAATTTTGCTGATGGTTTTTCATGCGCTTGACAAACATCTCATGCCTTGCTGCTACATGCAGAGGCATTTTGTAAACCCTAGATTTGTTCTTGTGGAGGTGCAGAGCAGGGGAAGATGGCTCTGTCCCCAGTGTGCAGGATCGCTCTTCTGCCATGGATTTTTTCCTTTTTCCTGGGATGTCAGAGATTTACCTGTGCTAACTGGATGTTTCAAGAGGTGCGTGTTGGCTTCTGTGCCCCTCAGCCTGGCTGGAGCAGTTTGAACACAGAATAGACAGCGTGTTTACTCAGGCAGTGGATCTGTGC